CTCACTCCCAACTGAGTACCTGTAAATGAAGAAAAGTAACAATAACTATGACATAAAATCAGTGGGACAAGAGATGGTCCATGTCGAAACACTGGGCATAGCAAGCTAGCTTTTAGGGTTAGAGTTATATTTCTCACTTCCTGAGGTAGCTTCACAGTGACGTAAAGACCAGGGAAGCATCTGCTATAGAGAAATAAAGGAGCCTTTTGAGATCAACCCATAAAAATCAGGCTGCCTTGTTTAGAGAGTCCAGAAGAGTTTCATGTTCGATAAAATTCCTTGTTTAGCCCCAAAGACTTGGAATCCATGAACCATTGAAATTCTCACCCTCTAAATGTGGACATGAAAATTCTACTGGGCATCTGCCCGCTCATCTCCATGGAGATGTTATGATTTACATCTGATTACAGGCAAGCAGGGCTTTTGCATCAAGAGCTTGACCACAGTTTCACCCTTCTCCTAATCTCAATCATATTTCATGGCTGAACTCCAGGAACTTATTAATTTTGTTTTTTATTTTTCTTCTTCATCTCCCTTTTCAAATATAGGCTTTTACATACAAAAGAACTGACGTGGTCATTCAAATCTGCATCATTTTAAAAATCTTTTAATTGTGCATGTGAATTTGTGGTACGTGTGTCAGGGGGAGTGTGGTTGTACTGTTTGCAGCAAAATGAAGGATGTGTTGGTAACACCAAATGCCTAGATTACTTTGGTCTTCACTTACAAAGAGATTCTTCATTATGCTTCTTTTGCATGAACAGAAAATGTTGTCTGTCCTCTGCCAGTTCATAATGTGTTGCAGGCAAACACTAGAAGCCATTTCTTTTTTGTTTGCTTGTTTCAACCCAAAGGCCCTATACTAAATGTTTCCTTTTGCTTGTTGAAAACTGTCATAAAAAATGTTCACTTACTCTCTCATTAGAGAGAGTTAACTTTGGTTAACAATGTTGTAGGCACTGCTAGGTTGGGGAGTAAAAAGGGTGGCAGATAGAATTTAAAAGAAGGCTATGTTTATGGGTGGTTTCTTTGTAAGTCGGTTTCTAGGTAAATAGGAAGGTTGATGCCATCCAGAGAGACCATGTAGACTCAGTGGATGAATAGTGGTTTTGCAGGACCCTTGTGTCTGTTTCCCCATCATTATGCAAACACTGGGTAAGCAGCATTATTTGACACAGGCTGCTGGAAGGGCCAGTGCATGCATGGGTGCCTGTCCTCTTGGCTTCCTATAGAAAAGAGATGCTTGGACTGGAGCACAGTTGGACACACTGAGGATCTGGGCTTCAGCCTCTGACAACCTGAGCTTAGGTGCCAGCTGTTTAAAGGGGAGTTCTGGGAAATGCCAGCTGCCGTGGTCTAGAGATCTTGGGACCCTCAGATCTGGGAGAAGTTGAGTTTGGGCATAGAAGGCTCCCACTTGCTGGCTGGTGAGTCTCGGGTACCAGCTAGCTGTTGTCAGTTAACTGAGAGATAACCCTGGGGTCATGAGAGAATCCTGTCTGTCTGCATACCCATCTCTGAATTGAAATCTTGTTGCTATCTTCTTGATGAACCTATGAGTTGGTATAATAGCATACAACAGATAAATATGATTGCTTTTTAAAAAATTGGCTCAGCTATGATTAAAGTAGAAGTCCGTGCCATGGCGTGTTGGTAAATGTTTAACAACTGGTTGGGGGTGGGGGGTATAAACAGAAAAGTTGTGATTTATGGATTTTGCCAGTTTCCTTGTCTAAAAACTCTGATTATGGCCAATTTCAAGCTGCTAAGTAGGATCACTGAATATAAAATTGGGAAGAGACACACATAATCAGCTCCTGCAAGGTGGTGCTAGCCAGTACCCCATTGATGCCATGCATTAGCTGGGTCATTTTTCAGTGTCAGATATCATCAGCTTCAGCTAGTTATATCTTTATTCACTATGATCAACAAGCCAGGGCAATGTGTTTCCATTTGAATTTTGATGACTTATTTTTGGTGCCCAGCTGTGGGACAATATTTTATAGTTTAGCCTTTTAAAGATTCTACTTTTATAAACATTGAGAAAGGAACAAAATAATACCACTGAGAAGAAATGATTCTGTTCTGCCAACTGTGATAAATAACTTTACATGTGTTAGAATAGAATCATCCTATTTTAGTTGCACTAGGATCTTCATTTAAAAAGGAACGTGTAGGCTGAAACTTTTAGCTCTTATTTAACTACAGCATGTCTTTGAGTATTTTTCAGGCCACCTCTCTTTTCACTGCAAATCAGGTGAACTCCACCTAGGAGATAGAGTATAGAATTATGAAGGAGTGGATGTTAATCTAGTGTCTAATTTGAGAGCGGCATTTCGGAGGTCTCTACAAATCTCCTCTAATCGTAAAATCCCCAGAGAGAAAGATTACATAATTTATGTTGTTCAGTTAGATTTAGCAGCTGTTGGCCTATTGGGTAGTAAGAGACCTTCGGGAGAAGTTGAGCCAGGAAGGCTTCAGCTATGGCCTAATAACCCCAATGCTGGGCCTCAGGTGCCAGCTGACCTCTGGGAAAGAGAGCTTGCCATTTCTTTTAGCATCTGCTCCAGTGTCAACTCACACTGACCAGTCATTTTAGGGGTGTCTCTCTACTTGGGTGGCCTTGTCCTAATTTTTTTCTTATTTAGGGAATTTCCCTTTTTCCCTCCATTTCCTAACAGGGAAACCTCCCTTTATCCTTGCCCAACCTTCACTGACTTTTTGGAGACAGCTTAACCAACCTCCCTTATCGGTTCTCATTGAAATAGCCTCTCTCTGGATGGTGACTTATTTGCACGTAGAGCTGACAAATGGCTGTTTGATATTTGTATGTTGTAAGTATTCAGCCCGTAAGTGAGATATTTGAGGGACACAAGTGAGTCTGATTCCTTGGACTGTGTGACCTGTGTAGGATAGACCTAGGCATCACTAGGGCTTGCAAGGAATCAACTAGTACCCCAAAGAGAAGGTAGATCAGAGTGAATGACACTCTACTTTAGCGAGTACCAGGAATTCATAAGATCTCTGCAAAGAGGAGGATCCTTTCCTAACTTTGAACTCAGAGTGAGAGCTAATGGTCTGGAAGGGCAGGGAGGACGCAAGGAATGAATTGCTGAGGTTCTGGTGGTATACCAGCTGCCAATATTTTCATGTTAACTTTTGCTCTGAGTTTTTCATCTGATGACTTCCAGGCCTGACCCCTGCCTTCTCAGCTGTGCTGAGCTGAGATTGCTCACCGCCTTTGCCTTTAGTTGCAGTATGTCAAGATCTTGTGCTCTAGTCGCAAGGTCCCTGGAGTCCTCTGAGCTAGCTGCAGAACTATAAAAAGTAAATGAAAGACAAAATTATAGGGAAACTCATCCTTAGACATGCCTCTTGCCCCACCCCGAGAAGGACTTACTTCACCTCTAGTCAGTGATCACATGTGAGAAAGAAAAAAAGGCAACAGTAAAAACTCCCAGTGCTGACAAGGGTCTTGCAGCACTTGCCCTGCTGATGCTGTCTCCACTTAAGAGTTCAGGAGAAATTCATGGTGGCAAAATGACCTTGCAAAATCAAACATTATGTCCAATCTGAGGGATGACTGAGTGAGCGCTGGGAATGAGGTATCCATGTTCTAAACCCGTGAGAAAGTCAGTCAGTTGTGGTTTTGTTGAACACTTTGGTTTATTTCTCCCAAAGGAGCAAGAAAAACCCATCCCAGTGATCTTTACCCTCAAGCAGTTTCATTGCTTTTTATTAATTGAAGGCCACACACTTAAGTTCCTGGCCTCACTGAACTCAAATGGTCCAGCCATGGGACATATTTATCCAATATGGAAGAATGGACATCTCGACAAGCCTTTCCAAGCTACAGTGGCAGGGAAACAACCAGAATTCAGACAATCTTGATAATCCAGGACCCCAGACAACCCTAGACAAATTGCATTCTCTGTGGCAGTTTTGCTGTCTCTCTCTCCCATCTGCGTCTCTCCAGAATCTTCCTTTTCTTATTTTACTTAGAGTTTACATGTGATAATTCTCAAAACCATATAAATTGAGATATAGATCATTCTTCTAGACAAGGTTATTCACACAAGGTTTCAGGAGCAATTTGAAGTTAAATATTAATTCTTTGCTGTGTATTAACATAAGAATGGAAGGGTGCCTTTTACTAATGTAAAAACTGCTACTTTTTTTGACAAACGTCAGCAACATATGCTCTCCTAGACTTCAAAGAAGGCATGAGCTTTATTTTCAGAGATGCTGCCCTGAATCCTTTTGGGAACAAAGGAGGGTATAAGTAAGTAGAATATTTCCAAGAATCATTAGTCCATCTCAGGAAAAGGGTGTGGTATGTCTGCAGAATTTCTTTCCTAATTCTACCCATTCTAGGTAGAACTTTTTGGTTGGAGTTACTTACAGAAATGCAGTCACTTTGTCCACATGGACATTTACTTGGTGCATGAATCCGGGTATGTGATGGAATTGGGTAGAGTGAAGTAAAACCATCTGAACAGAGAACCAGAGAAAAGTAAAGGCAGGAAGGGGTGACTTGGATAAGAAATGGGAGAGGGTGGGTGTTGTCTGTGGAGGTTGACCGTCACGAAGAAAATGGTTGGAAATCAGGGAGAGCACTTTCCTCCTAGAGGATGAGTGACTATGAGAAAGTGGTACAGGCCTGAGATGAGACTCAGCCAGGGGCACCATTTGAAGTTTGACAAGCCTAGACTCTGAGCCGCATGTGGTGTGGCTGTACCTTATATGGGGGGCCTCTGCTTCGTGCCCTCTAGGAAAGGGGTTTTTGTTTGAGAAGCAGCTCACAGCATGCACGAAGCTCTGAAAACTCATAGAGGAGACTCACTAAAGAGGATAAACAGAAAGCCCAGTCCCAAGGGCAGTCCACAGGAGGAAATCTTGCTTTTTCCTTGTTTGGTAGCAATAGAACTAACCAGAAGCTAAAAGACCAAGTTCCAATATCTGCCTCTAGAGACTAAGTCTAGACTTTTTTTTTCCCCCAGAAACCATAGGTGAGAACCACACATTCTATCTAATGTGGCTGTTGTTTCTAACTGAGGCCAGCTACGCTGAGCAAGCCTTTCCCGTCTAAGTGGTAAGAAAAAGAGTTTATATTATCATTGCTTGTCTTTTCTCGAATTTTAGGGACTTACATATTTATTAGTAAGCTTTAATATACTTCCATTGCCATTTAGAAAAATATGCTCTTAATATCTCAATCTTGTAGGTGTGGGGATTAGGAGGTTTTAATAATGTCACCTTCCAACCTAACGATATATCGCTAAGCCTCAAGTTTATTCCTTATAAAAGGGTTGGCATAAACAAAACAATTACAGAGTCTGTGCACCTCTGCCTGTCATGGTGCCAAGAGGAGCAAAGGGAAGAGGCAGTGAGAGTCCTGTGGTGGCATCCCTGTCCATTCCTGAGCAAACTACTAGCCCCATGCTGTGCTCCACTTTCTGTGTTCATGGTGTGGAGAAGAGCTTATCTCTCCTGTAGTATCTCTGGAGTTTATGAATAAGAAAAAGGGTAACAGAGAAGCACTCATTTTAAATTTTACATCTTCTACCAAGTGGCCTTAGTCTTCCTCATGTATATTTGGTTTGCTGCATAGATTAGGAAAGTTATCTCTGATCTCTTTGACTTGTCGACAAACACTGTAAGTAAGTACATTTCTTTAGTGGGAGCTGAGTAAATATTATGGACTTACAAAATAGGAAAACATGTAATCATGGCTACAATTGCGGGTGAGACCTAAGTGTTGTTACAACTAGTATTTGCAGAGTGATTTATAATCTGTAAAGCACTCGTGTATCCTTGTTTGCATTATGCATTCAGGTTTCCTGAAGGGTACTCATTTTCATTTAATGCAATGTTCCTAAGGGAAGCTTGAGAAAAACTTACTGCCCCTAATGAGATCCAACCACCCTTCTGGTTTCCTGTTACTCCATTCCAACAGTGACCGTGTCCAGAAAAGAGCTGGATTTTTATATCAGTCAGGAAAGACTAAGTTAGCTGCACGGTAACAAACCCCCAAGTCTCTGGTTATTAACAACCAAGACTTATTCCTCACTTAATGCTTTATGATCATCATGGGTCAACTGGGAGCTCTTCTCTACCTGCTAATTCTCAGGGGCGCAGGCTCATGGCAGCTCCAGTATTCTCCATGCATCATCAGTCATGGTGGCAGCGGTTGGCATTGTGGAAGTTCACACAGTGGCTCTTTAAGGCTTCCACCTGATATGACACATGTCGCTTCCACTCACTTTGTGCCCCCGCCTGTCCTGGTACCTGTTGGTTTCATTGGCCACTTAGCCACCCCTAACTTCAAGGATCTGGGGACTCTAACTCTACCATAGAGTTAGAGGAGACTTACTAAATAGGATAAACAGAAAGACCAGTACCAAGGGCAATCCACAGGAGGAAATCTTGCTTATGAAACCGACTTTCATAAATAGGTCTTGTGGATAACCAGAGACTTCGGGGTTTGTTATATTGCACCCAACCTTTCACAACTTCTCTACTCCTTACATTCTTAACTGGGCCAAGTTAACTACCTGTGAAAGTTGCTGTGAGATTAAATCAAGTGTTACTTGTTTGGCCTACAGTATGCCTCAGTGTATGTGAAATACAAACACAGGTTCATAAGCATGACTACCAAGGGTGTGGCAGTATATACGGTGATAATAATGCTTAATATCCACATAGAAATTTATATCTTCCAGAATAGTTTTAATTACGTTAATCTCATGTAATCCTTAGTTAACCTTTGTGACATAAGTTAGAGCTAGCAAAGGGCCAAATGAAAAAGAGACTAGAATGAATTGAGACAGGTGTGACTGTCATGACTACCATAGATGGCTTCAAGGAGGTCAAGTGATCCTTGAGCCAATATTTGATGGAAGACATTCACTTCAGTATAAAATAACTACTGAATGCAAAGTGTGTATTGTACATCCACTGTGCAGCCCATGCTGTGTCAAGCCTTGGAATGAGGGTTACAAGTGTTGTCACAGAGAAGCATGGGGTATCAGGCAGTAGAGTGGCATTTGCTTGGCTGGCTTAGTGTCCCACCCATCACTCATCAATGCTATCACTTCTAGCAGCCAGTGCCTCGAAGGTTTAATGTTATGTCCTGTAGGAAGGTTGTTTTGCAATTTCAGCAAAAACTTTGCTTCATTGTGTTTCCAAAAATGTGAGTATGTCATTGCTAAGACAAGTTCAGGACAGTTCAAATGAAACTAAGAGACGCTGACTTTGAGTGAATATTTATGCTCATGGTTAATTACGTGCACTTTCACATGAGACAGACCAGGGTTCAAGCCCCAGCTGCTTCTACATAAACTGTGTGATGCCAAGAAGGTTGTTTAACTTCAGTTTCCTCCTTGTGAAAGGGGACAAAAGTAATACTTACCCTTTTAGTTTGTTTTGACAATTCAAATGTTACCCATTATACTAATTATTCCAATCTGGAACTTTAAAAATATATCAGTTTATTAAAATAACTAGCAAATATTAAGATGACATTTCTTTAGAGCAATTTATTAGGAGAGAGTTTTCTGTTCCTTTGCCCTGTTTCTAAAAACTTCTCCACAGCACATTTTCTCTCTCACATATTTCTCTAATATTTATCTTGGTTTCTTTCTGATTTGGGAAGAAAAATCAAGAAATCAAAAGATGCATCCCTTTGATTTCAGGGGTAAAATAAAGGAAACAGAAATGAAACCGCGGGGTCTTAAAGAAAAACTTTGTTGCTGTTGTTATTTATGCTTTATTTTGATTTGCTCCTTTTAAAATAAGTTCAAAATCTCTTGTTTAACACAACCTTACCATGTATTTCAATTTTAGTTTTTCATTCTCCAGATTAGAAGTCCTTTATATGTATCTCCTAACTGGTACTACAAAACTTCCCGCTCCTGGCTCCCAGACACTTGCTGAACATTTAATTGCTGAAATTCCTCTTTAGATTTGAGGACATCCATGAGTTTGGACTTCTTGCTTCTTTTGGTGCTTCTTTCTCCCCGACTTTTGCTGCTTTTTATGTAAACATTTCTAGGCTGCCTCACATGGATTCCTGTATGGTTTCCCCCTACAAACTTGTTTTGAACCTGAATACTTTCCATTTAGGACCGTTCCATGTTTCCTATCCCTCGGCCAGTTTAGACCCAATGCCCTAGTGTTCTTTCCATTCCGTGAGTTGGGTGAAAGCTGACAGGAGGTGACTAATGGATGGGCAGCTCGCTTCAAACCATACTGTTGCAACACTGAGAGTGATATCTTGCAAAAAAATAAAAAATAAAATAACGAGCCTTCCGTCTTGTGGGAACCCTCTCCTTTCTCTGGACCTCCTCCTGGGCAATGGAAACCCTCCCAGCAGACTGAGTCGGCTAACACAGCAACTTCTCTATATGCTGTTTCCCGAGTTGGGTTCCCTCTGCCCGTTCCTAACAAAATGTCTTTCAGAGACTAGACGTTGCTCACTGCTCTGCCAGGCTCTGTGTGAATGATATTGTGCATGTGTGTGTATGTGTGTGTCTGTGTGATTTTAAGAAGGTAAAAAAAAGAAGGACCAGAGCCCTAATGGCAACTGGGTAAAGCTTAGTTTGGAGATGTATAAAGGGGTCAGAGGTGCTTTATTCCTTAGTTTTGCTTCTGAAGAGTCTCCTCCACGAGCATTTCATACTGAGTTTTGGAGATGATGCCATGTGTTAATGCCTTAGACCAAGCCTGAACTCCATACTTCAAACCTTCCTCCTCAATGCTATGTGGATAGAACCAAAACTCAGTCTAATCCTCCCAGAAGCCAAAATGTTTGAGAAGATTCACTTTAGAATTGTTCATAGAAAAATGTGAAAGTAGGCCATAGTTTTATGTTAAAAATAAAATCTGCTACATTTTATTTGGGTACAAATGGGTCACAGTACTGTTTGTTTTTAACTGGCTCACCTTTGAAATAAAGATCAGCTCCCTCAGAATACCAGCAAGTGTCTCCTTTAGGCTCTATAATTTCTTTTAGAATTTAGAAAACTATAAAGGATTCCCAAATTTCCCAAATAAAACTACTTGAGCTTTGAGTTCATTGCTAACTATTGAATCAACTGTGGAAGCAAGTCTTGGGGAAATATTAGAGACAAAATTTGGCAGATGAACTCATAGAAAATATGTGACTTGAAATTTATTCAGAAATTAGACAGAGAGAGAAAATACGTGGCATTCCTGTTGTCCTCCATTACCCTCACTCATGGAGGTCCTAATAACCAAGCTCCACGCATCTCATGGGCATCCTTCTCAGGGCAGTTTGCCAGTGGTCCGGAGAGGACCACTAAACTTCAAGATAGGCCTGAATTGTTCAGCTGAAGACTTGAGGTAATTGTCTCCACAGCAGCTACTAGAAGTTTGTCCTGAAGTGACTTTATCTGCCTTTCCCAGGCCATTACATGGCTATCACAACCCATTTCCAGAAACTGGAGCCCCTGTGGCTCTGGGGCTCTATTTTAATTTCTCACATTTCTCTAATTCATCTTGATTGGGAAGGAGAATTTGGCATCATGGAAAATGAAATGAGAATATAATGTGTTCATGCTTTAAGTATCAAACTGGACACCCTGTCTCCCAGGAAGTCCACTGGGAATCTCCAAGTTTAGTTAAATGACTCTTATGATATAATTTCACTGTATCACTTAGCACAGTACATTGGAATAATTGGTCAGTCTATGTGCCTATCACATCTAGACTACATGGCCTTTGAAGGCAGGTAGGATTGTATTGTTACTCAGGGCCAAACCAGATCTGAAGCTGTGCTCTCCTTAGAAATCAGGCCTGCTTAGAGAACAAAATGTCAGGCTCCTCAGCTATCTGTTTGCATAAGTGACCAAGAGGACCCTTGGGAAAGAACTTGCCCTAAGAAAAGAAGGAACTAAGATATACCCAGTTCATGCCAAGAGCAGTGATGATTCTGAGCACTGTAACTGAACCATAGAGTCTCAGCAACTCCAGGCTTTTGTTTGAGATTTAGGATAAATTTGAGTTAAAAAATAAAAGCAAGCTAAAACCACAAAGAGTTGTTTTACTGACATCTCTTAAGAATGTTGAGGG